GTCCCCCTCCACCCCTCCCAGGGGCCGTGTCTGTCTCTTGGACAACCCCGGGCTTCTTATATGCTTCTCTGAGGTGTCTGTTGCATTTAGGTCACTCGAGCGGGCATAAGTGGAGTCTCTCCCAGAAGAGGTGGGAAATGGAACAGAAGGGAGAGCTTGGCCCGGGAGGAAAGGGAAGCCCTTCCCTTCATGGATTTTCTGGGCTGGAATTTAAAGAGTGTGGATGGGCTGGAAAGGACTCCTAAGTGATGAAGATGGTCTCTGTCGTAGGATGAACCAGGAGCTCCAGCACTAGAGGGGACCCCGGGTCGAAGACAAAAAGTGCAGCCAGCATCTCTTTCACTCAGTGAAACTTCAGCGAATATCACACACCAAGCCCCGTGCTATGTGCCAATAGTGGTGGACAGGTAAGCTGGCTCTTCAAAAAGAAAGAGCCCTGGTTTATAGCACCGGGCCATTTCTGTGGTGTAAACATCCCTACCATTGCTGATTTCAAGCTACCAGCGTGACATTACCGAATTCGAAGCTGGGAAAAAATGCGCCCAGTCAGCTCCGGGGAGCTGGTGCAGGACAAGACTGGCACACCAACCGTGGGGACAGAGCTGGGGATTGGATGGACTAGTAGTGTCCCATGGAGCCTGGTCTAAAGGTATCAAGTTACTGTTTTACATCCACAGCAGCCTCCACTACCATCTTGGTGGGTCTCGATTTGATGTCTTCCCTTATATTCTATTAGACTGTATGGCCTGAAAGGGTGGGAACACCACTGACACTTGGCTCTTGTCCCCAGCGCGCCAGGCACGGTGCTCTGCTCGTGGGAGGCGCTCTGGATTTGCTGGCAGGTGGACTCCATGGGGCAGGGAGAGAAATCTGCTGAATGGGTACATACGCACTGGATGCCCTCCAGCCCGGAGTGGAGGCAATCAACAAGCCACAAGGCAGCTTTGAGAAGCACAGTGTTGGCCTTTGGTAAAAGTGCAAAGCAGGAAGTTTACCTAACAGCCTTCTCCACTGTCTGATCAGCACCGCTGCCCACCTCCTGGCACCACTGCCCATGGCTGGTTCTCAAGCCTGACCTCAACCCTGACTCCCCACCCTCACTAAAGTCTTTGGTGGTTATGCTGAAAGCAGGCGCTCTGACCTCCCAAACTGTGATGAGTCAAGAGCTGTCCCTGGCTTTTCAAAGGGGTCCGAGACCCCCCCAGCCCCATTCTCAACTCCAGAATAGGTCTAGTTCCTGGTTTAAGCTGTGCTCTGTAGGCAGTACGTGTGGATTCTGGTCACCCTCGGGGTCTTCCGTGTAGAGGGACCCTGATTAAGCCTCCATAAAGGGATGAGAGAGGGAAAACAGGCATGAGCATGCCAGGCACCAGGGCTGGGCATCCCAGGTGCTGGCAGCCTCTCACACTCATGGTCCCACAAGGATAGAAGAGCTGCCACCCTCCCCAGCCGAGCGAGCAAAGCCATGGAGGCTCCCAGCCCTGCCCCATCATCTCTCGTGACCACCCCTGGCCACCTGCTTCCATTTTGATGAGAGGGCTGAGGGGCACTTTCCATCGAAGCCATAGATCCCGGTCCTTAATGCACCAGACTGCAGGAGGCACAAGCCCCATGAATTAGGTTCCTTTTCTCCATCCACTTCCCTCTTATTTCAACATTCCCACCAAAGAGCCCACAACACTTCAAAGATCAAGGCTTTATTTTCTGTAGCTCCAGTGTCACAACTGTAGCAGCATATCAGAAATATCCCCACACAGAAACACACATTTCTCCCCTTCTTCCAGGAACGGGTGACAATCAAGAGGCAGAAACCATGATATTTACGACAGGAATTTAAGAAAGGACACTGGCCCACCCTAGTAACATACATCGTCCATCTCGCAGGTGGGAAGCAGCAGTATATTTGTATTGAAGAGGCACAATCATCCTTAAATAAAGTTAAATAAAACCTTAATGGCATAACAACGTGTTGCCAGTGCAGCCTTAGGGGGGACTTTGGAGGACAGCTCTTGGAACAAGACATCAGCATCTAAAAAAAAGAAAAGAAAAAGAAACCACACAAAAGGATGCCGGCCAGTATCTAGCGAGTTTCTATCCAAAGTTAAGAAAAAAAAGTCATGGATTGAAGATTTATCCCATTTGGAAAACAATCAATTTTTTAATTCTAAAAAGTAAAACTCAGTTGTACGAGGGGTTGAATCACACATCATGGTCTGGACAGAAGTCACTGTTATTGAGTATTGTACTCAAGTGGCATTGCTGGGCGGCAGATGACACCCCAATGACACCAAAGACACCAGTGACCAAGTTTGTGCCGTGACTGACTACATTAGGTTGGTCATCGCCAGGGCTGGGGGATGGGGAGAACATGTTCCTATTTCGTTCTTGGCCAAGTCAAAGTCACAGTCAACTGGGCTGCTGTCTGCATGGGGCAGCAAGACAAGCTTTGGAGCTCAGGGTGAGGCAGGGGGCGGTGGTTACCTCCCACAAAATTCATGACCACTTCTATTTGCTTAGCGCTTCACAACTTTCAAAGCTTTTTCAGATACATCGCTTGTTCAGCCTCTGGAAGACCCAGTGGGGAAGGCAGGACAGGTGGCATCACCCCC